AACTGCAGGTGAAATATGCTTAAATAAACAAGGATTTGTTGTAAAATCTGTCCTACTTGCTAAGTTAAATTCTCTACTTTTTCTTTCCCCACCATGCTGCCTAAGGAAGCTCTTCCCATTTGGTTCAGGTTCTTTAGATAGTAAAAATGCCCTGAAGTACTGGGATTAGAATTCCCTGTCCACTTGTAACTCTTAAGTCCTTGGGTACCATTTTGAGATGTGGGATCCACCTGAAGGGTGTGCCCCTCACTTGGACTGGTGTGGGACTTCCTGCAGGTTTTATGGGTGGCGGACCATAACTGGTCTCAAGTTTTGATGTTCGTTACAGTCTTTTGAATTTTGCAGGATCCTTAGGTAATTGAGAACATACTTTTTCCTTTGTGCATCCTCATCATATGGTAAGAGCTCTTCATTGTAGCTAGAGGAAGCTCTTCAGTTTTTATTTTCCTACTGGCTAAAGAAATGGTTTTGCTGAAGGACCTTGACTGTTGGTATAGCCACACGAACTATGGGAAAAGCCATGAGAAATTGGGCTGTTCTCCATCAAACCAGATTGCATGAACACTTCATGAAGAAGCAGGAGTACCTTGCCACCAGAAACTGGGTGCTGATAAGGCACTTGATGGACTCTTTTCTGGAATGAGCTGACTTCTTTGCTGACTTGGTTGGAGGAAGGGATGAGAGACTTTCTGTTCCCCCTGTTTGTGCTCAGGGTGACAGGGCTTCCTTTCTTAATGTGGGGTGCTCTGATCTCTGCTGCCCTTTGTTTTCTAAAGCTCCCAGACATAGTCCTTCTGCCTCCCTGTCTCATGACTGTCCTACAGCCTACTCCCATTCCAGGCTGGCTTACATACAGGGGTGCACCAGTAACGATTTTTTGGGCTGATACTGATTATTAACGAGTCATATCAGCTGATGCCGATCCCCTTGCTGATTTTTATGCAGCCTGGCAGCATGGAGAGCAGTGTCATCTGGTAAGTCTATTGGGGGGAAGGGGTATGGAGTAGACAGAACGAGGCACCCATGGTGAGGGAGTGGGGCTGAGGTAGGCTTTGCAGAGCTGGAGCAGGGTATGGGACAGAGCCACAGCTTGTGCCAGGGTGGAGGGGCAGGTGGCTCCTGCTGCTGTGTGCACCCCAGAGGAGGCATGGAGGGCATGTGCCCCCCAGATCTGTGTGTGGGGTGAGGTCAAGCAGCCTGCTGCACACTAGGGGCCATGGGCTCAGCACTAGCACCAAGTATGTAACGGCAGCCTAACCTCACCCTGCACACACATCCGTGGGCACATGCCCCTATGCTGCCCTTGGTGCGTGCAGTGGTAGGAGCCTCCTTCCCCCAGATGAGCCGTGGCTCTGTCCCATGCTCTGCCCTGCCTTGGCTGGGCAGTGCCTGCCCTGACCCTGCTCCCTCCCTCACTGCAGGTGCCTTGATCTCCCTTCCCTATCAAGCTCCTTCCCTCCCTCATGCCCCTTACCCCACCGCAGACTTACCAGCTGGACACTTTTCTCCACCCTGCTCAGCTGCACTTCTGGCTGTGTGGATGCTGTGGCTGCATGTACACATATGCATTTATCAGCAACATTATCGGCACCAGGGCTGTTCCTAGGGGAAGCGAATTGGGGCAATCACCCCAGGCCCCATGCTTTGGGGAGTCCTGCGAACAGTGCCGTACAGGCCCTGCCACAGCAGCCATTCGCCATCAGCTCTGCGCTTCTGCCACTCACCACCACCCTCTCCCCCAGCTCCGTGCTGTGGCTGCTCACGCCACCCTGCTCCGCAGTCTGGCTGCTCACCACCCCCCCCCAACCCTGTATAGGCTAATAAGTCCTGGGCCCCACACTTCCCTAGGGACATCTCTGCTGCCCACTTCAGCCAAAAAAGCTGATTGCTGATAATGTCAATTTTCCTTTTATCGGTGCCGATACAATATGGACTGGTGCACCTCTATTTACAAATCTGCCTGTGTTGCACAAACAGCATGGAAACACTGACTTCTTTTACTGGTGTGCGTAGATCATCATAGCTCCTTGCTCTTGCAACTTTCCCCTGGTTGTTTGCCTTTTGTCTTTAAGAAATTGTAGGTGAGCAGGTACGGTTTGCAGGGTTTTTTTTATTTTGTTTTGTTTTTTTAAACGTGGTGGACTTCCTATTCTTGTTTAATTTCTGTTCTGAAGTGATTTTACAAAATGGCCTTAGTTTTCTGATTGCTGCCACAACCTATCAACCTTGGTTGAGAAGGAGGGTCATATTGCTTCTGCCTGCAAACAAAGAGATCTTTCCTAAACATTTTCCTTGCTTTGAATTGTGGTACATCACCGAAACTTTCTCACTTCTGAAATGAAAAAAACCCCCAAGTTTGGCAAAACAGTCTTTTCTTCTTTACTTTCTAGGTTTGTAGGGTGAAAGACCATCTTGGGGGAAAGTATGAAGGTACTATATCTCTCTGTTTGGGAGCAGAGGGAGAGAGAGGGTTCTAGTAGCTGGGTATGTTGGTAATGAGGGAGGAGTAGCTCTGTTCCTATGGTTACCTTCAACTTCTTCACACAAGGGAATATTGAGTAAAGGCTGATGGAGGGGGAGGAAGACATGATGCTGCTTCTCTCAAGATCTTGACAGCCTCTTTAGTTCATGTATGGGTGGCTTCTAATTGTGGCCAGGGCATGAAGAGCATGAGTTGGCAGCACTGACCTGCATCTGGTTTGCCACCAAGAAATGGGGATGGAAGCTAGTTCATTGTAACCCCTTGATGGAGTGACGCAATTGAATATAAATGTATTAAAGGTCATTAAAAATGAACGATTTGCCACTGACTGTGAAAGCATCAATCTCCAAGTGGAAACTGAAGCTTTGGAAATTTTTCTTTGGCCAAACTGGTAACTGTGTCCCTCCACTCTTCTGTGACTGAAATTGATGATTAAATCACCAAATAGAATGCAGTGGGCATATCTACATTTTGTCGTATGCTATTGTTGCTACAGCGCCATGCTTCAGTACTTCCTTCTGGAAGTATTAATACATGGTACAGTATGGACAGTTACTGTGCTGTGTGCATGGTGCATGGTTAGATTTTGCTGCTATGTCACCATAGTGGCGTTGCTATATTGGGGGAGCACACCACTACAGTGATATAAGTGGTGATCATGTGTAGACCCGTGTGATCACTGTGCTGCCATAGTGCGCTGTATGGCAACTTAGCGCAACATGTAGATGTGCCCAGTGAGTTGAGTGCCTCCTCAGACCTGTGCAAGCTGCTCCCCTCCCATGCATTCTCTGTGGCATGAAGAGCGGAACCCTCATCATAACTGTTTTGGGCCCTGCCTCATGCTTCAGCTGCGCTGAAACCACGGACCCATAAAATTTGTGAGCACTGCCATTCTTTGTGTGCCCCAGACCTGGCAGCGTAGCAGATGTCTGGGTGCTTGTTGACCAAGCAGAGAAGAGGAGGACAAGTAGTGTTGTTGCTGGAGTGTGGGTGTACGGCTGCTTTCCTGTAAGTTGTGTGTCAGGCTGTCTAGGATATCTCTCCAGGTGACTGGTGCCTGGGAAGATGAGTAAGGTGCTCATTTGGTTCACTCCAATATTTGATACATTTCCGTCTCAGTACTCCCTAACCAGAGGGAGGGATTTCCTGGTATTCTCATAGGACTGGTCCTAGTTCAAGGCTTGTATCAGTCTCCCCATAATCCTCCTAATCTGTATCATATCTGTCCAAATGTCTGTGGACCATAGGCGACTGGCAGGGAGAGCACGGGGGGGGCACATGCCCCCTCTGACAGGGCCGTCCTCCACCACTAATGCTGCTGGCGGCTTCTGTGTGTGCTCGCCAGCCCTGTTGCTGCCGTGACCGGCTTCTGCTTGTGCTCGCCAGCCCCATCCCTGCTGCCGCCGCTGGCTTCTGCGAGTGCCCTCCCAGACTCAGGACCTACCTCAGAGTCAGTGATGAAGTAGGGCTTTACTGAGTAGAATCTGGGATGGTTTCTTACAGTAAGGCCACATTGATCAGTTGACAACCTGATCCCCATGGTACTGGGTCTTCAGGATTTTAACTTTGGCCTGGGACTGACTTATACCCTAGTTGTGCCCTAGCAGCTATCATAGCTGCAATTCGGTTGCAAATGACCTGACTTTGTTTTTTCTTGAGAGAACAATGAGTTCTCTCCTCTCCTCACCTCTGGTTGATGGAGAATTTCATGGACTCGGACATTCTGTGCTGTAGAAGCGAAACTTGCAGGATGGTGGTCCAGTATACAGAGACAGTGGTTTGCCTTTGTGCCTTGCTTTTAAAAGGTCACACCAAATGCTGGGCCTCTGACTCCTGAGCATTATATTTGTCAGGCAGGTCACTTCAAGGAGAGGGGAGTGGTGAAGTAAAGCAAACTATAATTGCTGCTCAGCTGACAAGCTCCCTGTTAAGCTTTGGTGGGAAGAACAAACATACTTTATTGTGAAGTATTTCAGAGATATTAGTGTTTCATTTGGGCCTGTTTTTGATGCAGTCTGAATTGTTTTGTAACATTGTGCATTTGTCTGCTCCATTTTTATCGTACTTTTGAACTACTTAGTGCTAAAATCATCACATACACCGTGTCTGACTGCATACCCTTAACAGCATTTATGTTTGTAGCTTCTGCTTTGGAAACTGAACATAAGTTACTAGTTATTGTTGAAAGAGTACTGTAATTTAAGAAGTGCAGTTTTAAATTGTCTGTTCTTAGATTTCTGAGAAGTCTTACATGTTTATCAGTTAAGACCAATTTGATAATTCCTTCTTTCATTATAACTTCTTACTTTTTCCTATACTGAGAACACCCATAAGATACTGTGGATACTGTCTACTAATACATTATAGATTAGAAACTTGTTTAAATAAGATTTAAGTGGTTAAATTTGAATTGCATGCAACATGAGAAAATATTTTGTTCTGTAAATCATTTTTGTAACTTTTATAAGATACAATTATCTACTATTTTCATTTCTAATTTAAATGATTCTGTGCTCAGTCTGCAGAAGTTGCCTGGTGAAGTATTTGGAGGAAAACAACACTTGTCCAACATGTAGAATTGTTATACATCAGAGTCATCCACTGCAGTATATTGGGTAAGTGGTATAACTAATCACTGCCTTTTCTCTATTTTACTTTCCAAGCAAACCACTTGCTCTAAATGTTTAGAAAATAATGTCAGAAAAAGTAATGATGCTGCGTAAGGGGAGAAAGGGATTGATTTTTGAAGTGAAACTTTTTTGATTTGAATCTTTTCATGAGTAAAGGGTTGGTTAGCCATGTTATTCTGAAGAGAGGCAGAAGATAGGGCAGGCTGGCACCTTTTAGGCTTCCTGCAGACATTAAACCCCCACGGCCCCCCGCCCCCTTCCCTCCAAACCGTGCTTTGCTGGAAGAAGCAGCATGCTACTTCGACTAGGCTCTGCAGCCTCTCTGTAGATCAGGTTCTTCAGGAGCTTTTGGGTTCTTTTGGCTAAAGCTGATTCAATTGGCTATTAGCTAAAGGCACCAAAAATGCCCTACTCAAGCACCCGATTTATGCATGGAGTTTAAAGTGCTGCAAGCAGCCTTAAAGACCTAACTTCTGCATGTAGACGGATTTTTTTCTAAACGTTTTCCTTGCATTGAATCCTGGTGCATAACTGAAACAAATTGGTTAGTTTCTAAGGTGTCATCCTGCCCTAGTCTCTCTTTTTATACCTCAGGTTTCAAAGGGTTTTTCTCAAATTTCAGAACATCAAAGTATATAGCTACTTCTCTTACTTGTAATAGATTTCTATGCAGCAGTTCAGATGTATTTGTCCAGGCAGATGCACTGTCATGCAAAGTCTCCCTATGCCTGATGAAGGTTGGTTGTGCCTGAAAGCTTGCAAAGAACATTTTTCCAAATATTTAGTTGGTCTCATAAAAGATATCACATCTACCCAAAGAACCTTGCCTGCCTGTGTCCTTAGACCAACATAGTTACAACCAACAACCCTGTCTTACCTGCAATAATGTTCAAAGACTTTGAAATCAGAAGGTGGCAGTATTATCATTTGGTTAATATTTGTGCTAAACAGCAGCAGAAACATTATTTTAGTAGCTTCAATTTCTTTTGACTGAAGAATTTGTACCTATCCTTTTACACCATCCATTACCCTTACTACAGTATCTATGTGCTGGGTGCCTTGGCATGGTGGTTCTATCCTTTCCGTGTTCTCCTCTTTGTTTTTACTTCCTTTTTTTTCTTTAATTATGTATTCTTTTAGCAGGGTGTTTTTTTTCCTTACTACTTCCAGCTTCCTGTCACCATCAGCATTTGTATGGCATTAGTATTTGAGCTCCAACAGCTTCTCGCCTAACTTGGTTTATCATAGGGATGTTTGCCCCTGTAACTTTCACTTATGGAAATACACCCTTGGACAGTACATCTTTACTAGCCTGTAGCCTGCTGGGTGCACTTTTGCCTTGCCTTAATATACAATATTAGATATGCTTGCTCATTGCGCTGCTTTGAACATCATTATCTATCGCATCTCCTGGGATCTCTTGTCAAATTCTTTAATTTCAGTGGGAATTGTAGACCCCCTAACAAAATAAACTTCCAGATTACTAAAAAACTGAGCCACTTTCCTGAAAAAGTAAATCAGTCAGGTTTGTTTTCACTCCTTGAACTAATTTTGATGCCAAGAATAAACAGGCTAACTAAAAATGTTGGGTTATGACAGCATTGCAGCACTGAATGGCACCCATAGGCAAAAAGGGAACAGTACTTAGGTCCTTAAACTTCTCTACAGTGAGCAAAGCTCCAAGAAGTTCCTGCAATGGATATTTAAAATTTCAACTTACACTAGGGAGACCATTGCTATTTTTAGCATTCCATTAGTTCTTTTAACCCTTGCTGTATTTTTGCTGTTTTTAAAAACATTTAAAGGGTGAAGTATTTAAACAATTAGTAATTAATTGTTTTGCTGCCGTTTTATTTTGGCCTCATTGGTCTCCACTGTTGTGGAGTACTGTCAAGAACCCAGGAAGAAACTGATCTCTGGTAGCAGCACACATTCCTGCTGAAGTCGGAGCCAAAGTTGAGCTAGTAATATAGATAGGTAGTAACATATAGATAGCTGCTGAGACTGATAGTTAAATTATACTAGATTTTTCTCTTATTTAGAGCTTGATAGAGAATTTCAGATCGGAAGTTGAGGTACCATTCTCATCCTTTCACATAGTGACATTTAAAATATATTTTCCATTTCCAAGTTATTTGCTTTAACTTACAGTGAAAGCATGTCAGTAGGTTAACTTTCAGAAGTTTTGTGGGGTTGGGGTTTAGAGTTGTCTCTAGTTATGTTTCCCACTCCCCTTCCTCCTCCCCCTTTATACTTGGTGGTCAACTCATCTTTCTGGCTAACTTTTGGGACCTGTCTTTCCTTCTCATCTCACTCCCCTCCTGTCACCTAAAATAATTCTTTCATCATACCTGTGGCCAAGCAGTATTTATATGGGATAATCAAAATATTCTATACTATGACTTTAAAAGTCTATATTCCTATCTGCTGAATCTATATAACTTGGATACTTTTAAGGTAGATGGCATTTATAGAGTAGATATCGCTAATTAAAAACAGGCCACTTTCAAACTTTTTGTTTTTGTTCTTCCTGCCAGTCATGACAGAACAATGCAAGATATTGTTTACAAACTTGTACCTGGCCTCCAAGAAGGTAAGTCTTTGGTATGTTCAATTTTAACAGTAAATGTTAGATAGAGAAATAAGTCCCTTGCATGTTTTAAAGGAATGATAAAGATTTTATACTTGTCTGCTGCTTTAAGAAAAAAGATGCATTTAAAAATGTATATGTTGGGAGCATGTCTTTGCCTGTTTCAATTCTAGTATTGTCCCTGCTTTATCCTTCAGTGCTTACTTTTGTCTAAAGTCAATAAAAATAACCTGAAAAGTTTCCAGTAACAAATGATATGAGGCTCTTGCAGAAAAAGGATACATAGCACTTAAAGCATGTTTTATATATGCTGAGCACAATCTTTTGTTTAAATTCCACATCTATTTGTGTCTGTTGTGGCTGCTCTGCTAAGTTTTCGAAGGTAAAATATTTCATTCTGAATAATTTTTAGGTTAGATTAAATTTTCTTTCTTTCCACTGCATACTTCAGCCCTTTATTAACAAAGAACTTTGGATTTGGCTGTTCCTTTTTGTAATAGGAACACTTTTGACAATAATGGATATGTTCAATGGATATGTTCAACTACTATATACAACAGGTCCAGTATAGCACATTTCTTTGTGTTGGCATCTTACTGCTTTTGTTTAGGTAAAATACTTTAGCTCGGGGATGTCAGTCTTGACCCAGACTGGGCCAAGCAGCAGATGTGTGGTAGTTCTGGGGTGGTGGTAGGGGTCCAGGGGTGGTGACAGGACCAAGTTGTGGCAGGAGGGAGGAAAGTGATAGGGGTTTGGTGGATGCTGGCCAAGTGAGGGGTGTATTTGCACAGCCCTTGCTTGCCCCCTCCTACTGATGGCCATGTCCATCATGGTCCCCAAGTTCTGTGCAAGTTCCTGGCCCCCAGCCCCAATCTATATTGTTTCATATTCTTCCATACTCTGTTATTCAGGAAAATGTCTCCTACAAAAAAAGGGGAAGGGGGTTGAAAGAGTTGTAGAAATACTAAACTGGCATTTATTACAGAACTAATATTTAAAATTTTGAACAGCTGAAATGAAAAAGCAGAGGGAGTTCTATCACAAACTGGGCATGGAAGTACCAGGGGATATCAAAGGGGAGACATGCTCTGCAAAGCAACACTTAGATTCACATAGGAATGGTAAGCAGACTGGTTTGTTTGTTTTTTCCTAAGGAAAGAATACAAGCTGATAAAGGCTCAAGGTTAGAGATGTGGCTGTGGTAAAATACTTTTAATCGTAATCATGACTTGTGATGTTGTGCATTATTTCCTTGTGAATGTATATGAAGTCTAATCTTAGAGGTCTGTGTTCAGCTCTTGAGTGGTAGTGTGTCTGCTTTGCATGAGACCACCCACAGACATACACCCTGAGGCCCCTGATCCTCAATCCCAACAATCAGGTGTCCTGCCATGTCACACCTGCCTGGTAGGATGTGTGATTTTTGTGTTTGGGGATTAGATCCCAATTGCACATTACTTGCTGGTGCAGGAGGAGCCCAAGCTTTTGTTTAACACAATGATATAAATGAAAGTCGTCCTGTGAAAAAGGGCAGAGGGCAATAAACATATGGAACAAAGAAGTTAGTAGTAGCTACAGACCAAATAAACAACAGTTGAAACAGATTGACCTAATTATGTAAAAGACTAAGGATTACATAAGGCTGTTGACAGGCAGTGGCTTATGAAGTAACCAGTCCTAGGTTTGGGAAAGTGCAAAAGTTTGTGGAAACTCATGCCCGAGCTGTTCTGTACTGGGGCAGTGTTTTGGGAGGGGTAGGTGGCAAGGTGCAGGGGGAAGGCCAATTGACTCTCCTGCCCCGCCCCATCTGTCCCCTGCTGCTGTTTGCCCCACTGCTATGATGGGGGGGAGGGGGTGGATGGGGCAAATTTATGACAGCTCCCTAAAAATTAGATTCTACACATGGAAAATCTTAACAAATGTATAAATTTGTTATGCCCAGAATCTCATTTTTGAGTGTCATCTTAGATTCAAACTTGTCTTGGATTCAAGTAAATACAGTAAAACGTTTTTACAAAAGTAACTTATTTTATGTCTCATATTTCCCCATAAGATAGGCTCATCCACGTTCTGATAAGCTCAAATACAAAACCCCAATTGCATTTGAGTTTGATTTCATTTAGTTTTGGTTGAATGTACCTATATTCTAGCATCTTCAACTTCATTTTTTCATCACTTTTAGTGCTCTTCTTTCTTTTATTTAAGGTGAAACAAAAACAGATGAGAGTTCAAACAAAGAAGCATCAGAGGAAAAACAGGAAGAAGATAATGATTATCACAGAAGTGATGAGCAGGTATTGCTAAAAGGAGATGCTTACTTCAAAATCTTTATTTCCTCATTCATCCCCCTGCTCCTCATCTCTTCTAATGATGTATTGTGAAGGGCCTCATGAAAACTCCTTTCTCCATGTGTTAAAAGCAAGGAAGCGTGTGTGTGTGTGTGTGTGTGTGTGTGTTTTAAA